AAGGTGTGTATTTGTGTGAAATTGATCACAGCGTCAAAAGTTCAAGTGGTTGTCCCGATTGCTAATAACAACTAAGTGGTTTGCGTGTGTTTATATCAATGTCCTGTGATGCATTTCAAACATCAGATAATTTATGGTTTATTTTTGACTACTACTCCTTTTGACAGTAGTCAGTTTAGTAATTTGAATTATTTTCCCCTCTAGCCCCTTCCGAATAGTCAGCGACTGTGGAGCCGCCTTCGCCATGGGCACCATAGGTGGTGGCATTGTACATTCATACAAAGGATATCGAAATGCTCCATCAGGATATACTCGCAAAATAGTAAGTGCAATGGCTAACTGCCGTCAAAGGGCTCCACTTGTCGGCGGGGCTTTTGCCATATGGGGCGGCATGTTTACCGCAGTGGATTGCACTTTGGTCTTCGCCCGTCAGAAAGAAGATCCGTGGAACTCGATCACCAGTGGTGCTATTACTGGGGCTGTTCTAGCCGTCCGTCATGGACCCGCAGCCATGGTCGGTCAGGCCGTCGTGGGGGGCGTTATTCTGGCCATAATTGAGGGCCTTGGTATCATGATGAATCGTTTTGCGCCCATGCTAATGCGTGAGTTTCCACTATGCTCTTTTTCTGTGTTCTCCTTTAGTGATAGTAATAACTCGTTGACTTTGCACGAGCTCATCAAAACCTAGCCAAAATGAGTCTCGTTCTCAATATGAACATTTCATCAAAACAGAAAGAAGACTAATGTCGCGAGATGTTAACATTTCGTTTAATCTTCTCGATTGCTGGCTAAAACAAACGGACACATATATAGCACATGGGATTAATCAATTATGGTGAACGAACGTGTACAAGCATACAAAGATGACTGACTTTAGGAGTAAAACGTCAACTCCACGATAAGTGGACTGCTTGTATCCAAAACTTCTGTGTGCATAAGGTCGGGTGATGTAATCGAATAAGCAGTGCTTCACTTATCGCCAAAAGTTTAGCATTGCGATTACGTAATAGTGGTCTGAAAGAAGAATTAGGGTCAACTGTGTGTCTTGTTGCCATGAGATGTTTTGCAACAGATGATCCTGGATTTCGGGTAATCACTTGGTCATCATTTATCGGTTGCATCATCGATTTAGTCAACCACTTCGGAATATGTTCGGCCATACGTTGTGACAGCTGACGGTTTGTTCTGCCTATGTATGCGTCACCNTGCGATTACGTAATAGTGGTCTGAAAGAAGAATTAGGGTCAACTGTGTGTCTTGTTGCCATGAGATGTTTTGCAACAGATGATCCTGGATTTCTTGCCATCACTTGACCATCATTTGTCGGTTGCGTCATCGATTTCACCAGCCACTTTGGAATCTGGTCGACCATCCGTTGTGAGAACTGACGGTTTGTTCTGCCTATGTATGCGTCACCGCAACTACAGATGAACTAGTGTGAGACAGAACTGGTTTGTCAGCCAATTTTACGTTTGTCCAAATCAATTCCACGATTGGAGGCAATGAATCTGAGTTGAGCATCCGGGAATGTACTGTCTAGTGCTGACCTCAACTTCTGGCGCACATCATTATGAATGTGGTCACCTTTGAACGCAAGCGTGATGTTGATGACCTTTTTACTGACTTTTTGGGATGGGTTACCTTTTGAGAATGGTCTACTGTGAACATCTATAAACCTTTTTGGGTAACCATTGTTTAGCAATGTTCTCCTTAGGAAATCCTCTTCTTCCTTCAGTGTATCTGGAGAACAAATGTTTCTCGCCCGATGAATAGGGTTCTCACAAGCCCACGTTTGTAAGTCAGGGGAAAAGTTGTAGAAATATAGGTATTGCCCGTTCCATGTCGCTTTTCTGTAGACAGCGTTTTGTGAAAGTTAAAATATAATCTGTAGCTAAGATGCTGATTTGAGCATAGCCAGTGCGCATCTACCTAAGGAGTACAATAGGCGGTTAGGTGGTTTACTGTCTGTATATAGCTTTGATTAATGATTGCATTAATTAAAAAAACATCCTGCCCACAAAACTACTCCCCACGTCGCAATTGGATATTTGTGATATATGTACATGCATCTTGAGAACCAGGCAAGTGCTGAGTGATAGCACTTATTGTAACGTTTCGTTTCGGACTGGGACTCATTGTTGAACGATACAATGTCAGTGATTGCTGCAACTCGGCCTTCAAAGCGGAGTTCTCCGATCGCCTGTCGGTTCGATCACCAGTCGAAGGACTCAGTGAACATTGAAAGGAAATCAAGGAAGCTATGCAAGATCATAATAACAACGTCAGACCCTCGCACGGGCTCAAAACACAAATGGTGGATCTCGTCGACCTCGGCTGCCCTGCTGGACGTCTACAGAATCTTCCCTCCTGATACCACATATGACAGCGCGCAAATCCCTTGAACGCCAGCTCATCAAGAGTCTGAGGAATGATCGCGAGAAGTGGTGGGTGGAAAAGTGTAGACAGATGGAGCAGGCTGCGGCTATCAGCAGTAGTCGCAATCGTTTCCGTCTAATTAGGAATACAGGCCCCAGGAAAGTAGGCGTGAGTGAGGTAATTAAGAAATCCAATGGCACACTGATTCATGATCAGCAACGCTGTCTTGACCGTTGGGCCGAACACTTCAAGGCTCAGTTAAACTGGCTCCCATCGACATCTTACCTTTCACCCTCCATCTTGACTGGGTGAATATTGCCAGTTGACATCAGTCCTCCGTCTGAACTGGAGGTTACTCGAGAAATAAGTTATCTCAAACGGCATAAGGCTTCAGACACCGACGGACCGTCCCCATCGGTTTTTAAGGATGGAGGTTTAACCGTGGTTTTGAAGTTAACCAAACTCTTGAACTCAATGTGGGAAAGGGAACAGGTTCCAACTGAATGTTGTGAATCCGTGATGATACCGGTTCACGGGAAAGGCGACAGGTGCTATTGCGATAACCTTGGACGAATTAGTTTAATCAACATTGCCTCTAAACTTCTCGCTGGTATCATACTCCGTCGATTGTCTGCCGCACGTGAACGGTGCACGCGTGAGAATCAGGTTAGTTTTAGACCTGCTCGAGGTTGTATCGATCATATCTTCACTCTTCGCCAAATTCTTGAGCATCGACATTCTTTTCGTAGACCCACCAACTCTGTCTTTCTCGATCTGAAAACGGCCTTCGACTCAGTCGACCGCTCTAAACTCTGGTGCTGCCTTTCCCTGAAAGGTGTGCCCGAGAAGTTAATTTCAATATTACCATCGCTTTATACTAATAGCCGAAGTCGGGGCCGGGCTTACGGCACTTTTTCGCCCGAGTTCACCACAAAGTGGTGTTCGTCATGGTTGCCCTCTTTTTCCTTTTCTTTTCAACTTTGTTATAGATTTGATTACGGAAACAGCCCTATAGTCGTGCGAGAATAGTAACATCGATCTCCTTCCAGGTGGCAAACTGTCTGATCTAGAGTATGCAGACGACATTGTGTTACTAAGCGAAGATGCAGGTAAGTTGCAAGCTTTTCTGGATAGTTTGAGTGCTAGTGGTGCCATGTTCGGTTTGCGTTTTACACCTTCAAAGTGTAGAGTGTTGCTACAGCACTGGGTTGGCCCAGCACCCAGCCTCACTATAACTGGGAAAGTAATAGAGCAAGCGGATAGTTTTGTTATTTCGGCAGCTATATCTCACCTGACGGACGCATCACGGATGAAGTGTCTGCTCGCATACAGAAGGCTCGGTTGGCACTTGCCAACTTGAGACATCTGTGGCGACATCCGGCCACTCGTGAAGGGTATATACTGCGGGAGTTCGGCCAGTCCTGCTATACGGCGCAGAAAATTGGCTATTAAAGAGGCAGGATAATGATAGACTGTCGGTGTTTGAACACCGCTGTCTACGTAGCATTGCACGAATCTGGTGGGGCAGCCGGAAGAGCAAAGCTGAGGTTAGACGCAGAATTTTGGGTAACCGCGGTCGCCCACTGGAGCAAGTGGTCAACCTCCATAGATTACGTTGGTTAAGGCATGTGTTACACATACCACCACATAGGATGTCACGGTGGGCGATGTTCACCTAGGCTGGTAGTGAGTGGAAAAATCCAAGGGTGGTTAAGCTAAGACCTGGCACGAGGGTATGAAAACCCTGACCCGGGGACTCGGTCACATAGGCTCCCTGACTGGGGACCCCGAGATCATGGTCACCGATGGTTAAGAACACTGAGCGATATGGCTGGGTGTCGCAAACAGTGACGCTCATGCATCTGCTCACTATTCTTGTAACTATGTGAATGCGCTATCTTCCGCTGTCAATATTCTAATTTTCATCCTATTGTTTTATCCAAATGGGCAACCAAAACCGGCCCACGAAAGTTCATGGTTAATGGTTGTACAAACTGAACCTAACTGTGAAACGATAATGTGTGAATGAATTGGGTCCGCTTGTGCCTCACGCTATGGTTTGTGTCGCACCTGTTTGTCCATCCACCCCGCGTTCCTCGTTGGTTATGCAATCGTTGTATTGTGGTAATCGATTCCGACGTGCCGGTTAAGTGAGTTGGCCGAATGAAGCGCCTCAAGGATCAGACGTTCCCTCCATTCCTGCCCGTGCGACTACTTTTGCGCCGTTGATTGTGGTCTCGTGACCTGTCGTTGCGCAGTGGTTCCAAAGGTTTGATTTCGGGTCAGCGCGTCGTAGTGCTTGTTCGTGGGGGCGTGGGCATAGATTTTTGTCTTTCCTTCATAACTTTGATAACAGTCTGGACACAGGATTGCGTACACCACCCTGTTGTAACTGTACGCCTCTGATTAGGAAGAACACAAGTCACTGAACTTGACTAGATGAACTGTAATCATCCCAAAACGATTTACAGGGTCAATGACTGAAAAACAGATCAATAATCATTAGGCCTGTCAATACTTGTTGGATCGATAGTGAGGCTGACCAGTCGAGTGACACTCGATGCAAGCTGGCCACGGCATGATTTGAGCTCTCATCTTACACCCCTGATTAGTCATGGGGTTCTACGTGGTCCTTCCCGATGAATAAAGTTGGCCGCAGTGTTCTAGGTTTGTGGGCACTTAGTATGGAACAAACGGGTTCTTCGATGATGCTAGAGCTCTTTTGCGCTGCAGTGTGTCTGTACGGCGGAACAGCGTGCGCACATAGCTTCTCAGGTGACATGTGGGATGATTGCTATCGCAGTTCAGCACATCGGTCTTTGTCAGGTTCATGTACACAGTGCTTTCTGTATTTCCATCTGGTTATCGTATGGTGCGAACGTCCAATAAAGGGAGTCTCAACATTCTCCTTGTGGATGAATGCTATCCCTGGCTAGCGTTGTTTAGATCATCACGGAATTTTTCAATTCTTGCTGCTGTTAGCACATGTGTCGACTGCTTATTGGGTCCGGAGAAAATGACGTTATTCTTCAAGTTCTTCATGTTAATTTTTTTTTTCATCACTGCATCAGCTAGTAGGCCGGGGATCAATGGTTCCATTGGGATGCCTCTCACTGGCCGATATACCCTCCGTTCAAACTGTAGATGTTTGCACGCCAAGTTCAACCAGCTCCATAATATCAGTCACTGACAATAGTGTCCTTCCTTGAAGACGAGAATCATCTCTTATCAGATTCTGTATGCTCTCCGGCGCTGGTCGCGTCGACATGTTTGGAATCAGAGAAATGACGTCATAGGATACCATTTTTACGTTTGGTCTCAGCTTTAATTCTCTTATTTGATCCAGGAATGTAACCGATAATTTTATAAAGTTATCTTCTGAAATAGATGGGCGTACTAAGTGGAAGAGGTAATTGACCACCCGATAGTTGAGAGCTGCTGTTGCAACGATCACACGTAGTGTGATATGTTAGTTTCATGTACTTTCAGTAGTATATATATATATATTTATATATTTCAAGAGTGGCGTACACTGAGTTGTAAACTGTATATTGTAACGTTTCGATCCCAACTAGGAACCGGTGTCAAACGTAAATGAAATGAAAGAGATAATGGGATTACAGTCCTTTCGTGCACTTGTGTACTGTTTGTAGGTCTATCAGTCCACCAATCGTCACGGGTTTTACTAGTGTTACGTAATGTTTGTCTATCTCGACGTGTCGATTGAACACCATCACCATCATGGCACAGCGTAATACAGTGAAGCGAACTTCACTGATTGCTGCCAAACTCACAATGCTTACAAG